TTGCTGAAATGGAGGAAGGAACTTGGGAACCACAGGGTTAGCTTGTCTACCTCATTTGAACCTGATTTTGACAGAGTGGCTTTGTTATCTTGTTTTAAGTATGTAGTCCTCCCTGGTGATTAGGCAAAACTATTCAAACAAAGGAGCTTAAAAATAATATTCAATTGGAGGCAAAATAGAAATAGTTTGGGAACTTTCTGTACTGGAGTCTCTTCCCATTGGTAAAGGAAATTGAGAGGAGCCTGCTGGCTTGGGTGTGGTTACCTGGGCTGAGTGGTATCCTGCTTTGGCCATCACAGGCCTGTGGCATTGTCAAGGCAGCCAAGATCATAGGATTCATTTGATTGCAGGAAACTCAGGATGAGTCAGAGCCTGAATAAGGGCTCTTCCGAGGGCTCTTGGAAAGTATGTTTGTGGGGAGTTCTGTTTGGTTTTAGATTCATGATTCTATACTCATCTATCTGTGTGGAGGTTACTATGGCACATTTGAAATTTTAGGCTGAATTTCAGGATCCACCCCTGTACTCCTTGGTTGACTCACCCACTGTTGGGTTGTTGTACTAGGAAGTTTATTATGATCAGAAGTCACACATAATGAAGCATGTTTATGTGCTGCATTGGAGAATCCACTCCTGTACCATTTTTTTCCCCATTAGCATCTATGATCCAGAGTTGACTGTAACAGAAATTGATTGGTCTAAACTGTCCTTTTAAGTCAATAATCTATTTTTAGCACTGTTTTCAGGTAAGATTTTTGGTCGATCTGTATGAATAAGTCTTACTTTCTTACTTCTTTTAGAAAGAAAGCAGTTTTCTATCTAGTTTTACTGTGCCTTTATAAACAATGGGTGTTCAGTACTATTATTAAGTGTTTTATTTTCTTCTCCACTTTCATAAATGAATTCAGTAAACAAAAAGGTAAAAGCTTTACTCATTATAGAAAATTTATAAATAATAGAAAACACAAAGAAGAAACTACCATACAACAAAAATCCCTGACAATCTTACTGCCGAGATAGGAGGTTAACATTTTTGATTCTGTGTGAGTATACACACCTTTTTTTAAAAAATAGAAATGGCTTGTGTTCTGTGCTGCTTTTGTTTATCATGTTATGTATTGTACATGACCTCACATTTGATGCTGCATCATAGAAATGAGGTGAATTGGAAGCAGGTTTTGCCCACCTCCAAGGCTCTACTTCCCTGTCACTCCTGTTTTGAGACTTTCCCTAAGCCACTTTCTCTGGGAATCACTTTCTTCTCTGAGCACCTATAGCACTGTCTATTGTCTTCATTCAGCTATTTGTTCCTGGCATTTGGCATTATCTTAACAAATAAGATATTTCAGAGGAGGATTTAAGGTGCCTTGCTTCTTCTGAATATGTTCTGTCTCACCAAGCAGACAGATTTTTCGACCTATATCTTGTGGTGGTTTCTATCTCTCATCCTTACATATCCCTGTGCCTTATACAGATGCATTTGATAATGATAGAGAATGATGGTAACTGTTTGGTATAGAGAGAATGTTTTAGAAGTCAGTTTGACTTTTAAGGAATTATCTCTACCTCTGAAAGTTATTTTATTGATTATTATTTTTTGAGACAGGATCTGCTGTCACCCAGGCTGGAGTACAGTGGCACAATCATAGCTCCCTGATAATCTTACTGCCTAAATAGGTGGTTAACATTTTTGATTTCGTGTGAATATACACATTTTAATTTTTTTTTAAATAGAAATGGTTCTATAAATTTCTAGGTTCAAGAGATCCTCTTGCCTCAGCCTCCTGAGTAGCTGATACTGCAGGTGCTCCCCCCAGTGCCTGGCTAATTTTTTCTATTTTAAGTAGAGATGGGATCTCACTCTTGCTCAGGCTGATCGAGAACTCCTGAGCTCTAGTGATCCTCTCCCTTTTGCCTCCCAGAGTGCTAAGAGTACAAGTGTGAGCCACCGGTACCTGGCCTATGTTTTCATGTGAAAACAGCTAGTTAGGCCAGGCACCGGTGGCTCACACCTTCTATCTCATACAAGCAGACATAGTTCGTGGCACTTTGTAGGATTTTGTGGAATAAGTTATTAGTGCTTTTTATGACATTTTTCTTTGGATTTTGTTAATTACGATTTGTTAAGATAATACCAAATATAAGTTGTAACTTATTGTAGTAGTAAAATAATTAGCTTTGTTGAGTACTTAACTATGTACCGTGCATTGCTATAAGTGCTTTATATGTGTTTGTTTAATCCTTACAATAGCCCTATGATTATTGTACTAGCCTTTTGGTTATTATCCTCATCTTTTTTTTTTTGAAACAGAGTTAATGTTGTCCTTGATAGAGTGCAGTGGTGTCACAGCTCACAGTAACCTCTAACTCTTGAGCTTAAGTGATTCTCTAGCCTCAGCCCCCAAGTAGCTGGGACTACAGGCGCCCGCAACAATGCCAGGCTATGTCATTGTTATTTTAGTAGGCCTGGGCCAGATTCCAACCCACTAGTCCCCCTTGTATGTGGCTGGCACCCTAACCACTGAGCTGCAGACACTGAGCCTTATTATCCTTATTTCACAAGTTGAGTAACTTGCTCAAGGTCCCCTGGGTAGTAAGTGGGATTCAAATTTAGATAGTTTGCTCCAAGAGCCTGCACTTGCAAACCACTGTACTATATTGTCAGTTTGTTGCAACTGAAGCCTTTTTTTGTGACCACTGTATTAGTAATTTGTTTAATGGTATTAATATGGTTTGAGTTACTTGTTATTTGACACCTCCTACAGTGTTTTGTAGTCATATGTTGTTTGATGTCTGGAACAAACTAGTGGGTGCTTACCCTTGACTTTTCTGGGAGGATTTGCTGTGTGTGAGATTTACTTTCCTCATGAAGTTTAAGATTTCACCTTCCCCCCTGAAGTTTAATACATGAAAGAATAGTTATAAACATTTTCACTAATGGTCTGGTATTCTCCTTCTTAGGATGGAGGTTCCTTGGATCAAGTCCTGAAGAAAGCTGGAAGAATTCCAGAACAAATTTTAGGAAAAGTTAGCATTGCTGTGAGTATATTATAAAGTTTTTTTTTTCCCCTAGGTTCTTCATTAATAAGTTAATGAATTGATAAGAAATGGACAAGGGAGGAAGGCAGGAAGTCAGTGATGGGAAATTTTATTTAAAAAGTGGAGTTTTGGCTCAGCACCCATAGCACAGTGGTTAAAGCGTCAACCACATGCACCGATGCTGGTGGGTTTGGACCCAGCCTGACCAGGTAAAACAACAATGGCAACTACAACAGAAAAATAGCTGGGTGTTGTGGTGGGTGCCTGTAGTCCCAGCTACTTGGGAGGTTGAGGCAAGAGAATCACTTAAGCCCAAGAGTTTAAGTTTGCTGTGAGCTGTGATGCCACAGCACTCTACCAAGGGCAATGTAGTGAGACTCTGTGTCAAAAAAATAAAAAATTAAAGAAAAAAATTGTTTTCTCACTAGAATCTTCTCTCTGTAGAATCTTGATACCATATTCTCTCACCTCATTAGAATGAGAAAAGTGACTTTTTTATATTAACATCTGTGTCTTAGGACAGAGTATCCAAGAAAATTCCCGTTTATGATCTCAGAAATCTTTTTTCAGATTGCAGATTTACATGAATTCAAGGGTAGTGTTTTTGTAAAGTTGTTTAAACTTATAATAATTAGTTTTACTTAATAATACTCTGTATACTATGTAATAAGATGATTGCATAATAAAGCAGGTTAAAAAGTGACACACAAAAAAGAATGAGGATGGGCACAGTGGCTTATGCCTGTAATCCTAGCACTCGGGGAGGCTGAGGCAGATGGATTGGTTGAGCTCACGGTTTGAGACTACCCTGAGCCAGAGTGGGTCTCTAAAAATAGCTGGGCATTGTGGCAGGCACCTATAGTTCTAGCTACTCAAGAGGCTTGAGATGAGAGAATCACTTGAACCCAAGAGTTTGAGGTTGCTGTGAGCTATGATGTTATAGTACTCTACTGATGGTGACAAGGTGAGACTCCGTCTCAGAAAAAAAAAAAATAGTAAGGTTTGTGGCAAATTTGTGAGGATAGACGAAATATTTTCCAGATTATTTAAAAAATTAGTGTTTTTTAAACACCATCATTTTTATTTCCTATCTTTTTACTTTCCCTTTCCTCTAGGTAATAAAAGGCCTAACATATCTGAGGGAGAAGCACAAGATTATGCACAGAGGTAAGAAGTTACTTGCTACTTATGTTTTTAGTTTTAACTCAAATCCAAAGGTTGTTGCTTCTTTTTTTTGTATTTTGTTTTTGTGTAAAAGCCTTTTAATAACGTTAAAATATCACAAGTCTTTGTTTACTTTGATGACTGGGGCAGAAGGTCCTACTCTTGTTTTAGTCTTGGTACACCTGTTACCTGGGGCTGTAACAGGCAGTCACCCAGCAAGCCCAGGCTAGACTTAGATTAGCCTCAGCCAGAATTTAGTTGCCCTGGTGTCACTGTCTGTCCACTGGACTAGGTTGGACATAGATGCGATGCTATAACTAGGCAGCTGTTTATGAATTTGACTATAAAAGACACTGGTTTCTAGAAATAAAGGTACACATACACTTACCACTCTTAGGTATTCATCTAAGATAAGGGAAAACATGTATTCACACAGACTTGTACACTAATGGTTAAAGTGGCTATGTTTCTAGTAGAAACAACTAAAATTTCCTTTAATAGGCAAAGAGATAAATTGTAGTATATCCATATGGTAGGATACTTTATAAACAATAAAACTGAATAGGCTACTGATAGACATAACTTTGATGACTCTTAAAAAAAAAAATTTATGCTGAGCAAAAGAAGATAGAAAGCAGTTGAAAAGTTTTCCATTTATGGGCCTCTTGGCAGTTGGGGCCCCTGTCTCAGCTCAGCAACTCTACAGCTGCTGTGCCCTGCTCCTCCCGACATTCTTGGCTGGCACTCTCTCGCTGGCATCCTTGAGCAACGCGTTGTCTCTAGGGCGTCTTCTCCTCAATGCTTACAGTTCTCCTGGCCCCACCAGCCGTGAGGTACAAGGATTCCTTAAAAGAAGACGTTCAGAAGGCAGATCATGTCATTAGTAACACAGGGGCAGGAAGCTCTTTGGAGACTCTGGAAAAAGGAAAGCCACTTGTGGTGGTGGTTATAGATGAAGAGTTGATGAACAGTCATCAACTAGAATTGGCAGAGCAGCCCCAGAAAGAGGGGCATCACCTCTGTTGTGCCTGCAGCAGCTTAGTGGACTTAACAACACTGAAATGTTACCCTCCTGGCCAGCCAGAAAAATTGTCTGCATTTTTGGATAAAGTTGTTGGATTACAAAAATAAATACTTAAGCTTTCAACACTTAAAAACACCTCCTCCCCAAATCCAGCCTGTGGATAAATGTGATTTAAATGTGATTAAATCAAATTTAACATGTATTTGCAGAATAATATAAGTTAATAAACTGTATCTGTAGAATGAATAGGAAATGTTATGGTGTACACATTTGCATTTGGGTTCAAACCCTAATTAGAGTTTAGTACATTTATTAGCTTTTTCCTGATCTTCAAGATGTAGTGGCTCGGTGCCTATAGCTCATCCGGCTAAGGCACCAGCCACGTACACCTAAGGTGGCGGGTTCGAATCCCCAGCCCGGACCCGCCAAACAACAATGACGGCTGCAACCAAAAAATAGCCGGGCGTTGTGGCGGGCGCCTGTGGTCCCAGCTACTTGGGAGGCGGAGGCAGGAGACTCGCTTGAGCCCAGGAGTTGGAGGTTGCTGTGAGCTGTAATGCCATGGCACTCTACCCAGGGGGACAGCTTGAGGCTCTGTCTCAAGAAAAAAAAAAAAAAAAAAAGATGTAGTAAGCATTCACAGGTTTGTTTGTGATCCCAAGTGCATTTGGAATCATGAAAAAATGAACAAAACTTGGAAGACTTTGACAAGGAGCATTAAATATAGTTAGTCAGATGTGTGCTGTTTGGGTCTTCTCCAGAAGCCCTAAAAGGATTTGCCAGGAGGCCTGGTCTGTGGAATGGTACTTTTGTATGTCTTGATTTCTGAGTAAGAAGCACAAGAGTAGACAATTCCTAGAAACTTGAGTTAGGGTAAAAATGAGAGAAAGCACGTCTCCCTATCTTCAGTCTTCCTCACTGCTAGCTCTACCTCGGGTCAAATATATTCTTTCCTGATGAAAGTGAAGCTCCATTTCTTCTCATTTCGTCCTTGAGGCAAAATAGGAAAGAGTAGAGAGACTTTTTCACTGCTTAAAATTTTTATTCTTATTCTTATTCTTTGATATTTATTTGCTAGAGATAGCTTAGTGATTATTTCACTTACCTTTTGTTATGTAACAGACTACCCCAAAACTTAGTAGTTTAAAAGAACACTTTATTACCTTGAACAATTTTTTTTTTCCTGTGAGTTGGCAGGCATTTTTTCACATGTAATTACTTATCCTCTGGGAGACCCAGCTTCTTCCTATGATGGTCTGAGGGCTTCCAGTAGCAAGAGAGGGTAAACCCCAACACTCAAGCACTTTTTACACTTCTGCTTGGGTTGGGTTTGTTAATATCCTATCAGCTAAAGCAAGCAACGTGATCAATCCAGAATTCAAAAAGTAGAATGAAGACTATTTTGGGGAGGAGCTACAAAGTCATGTGGCCCATTTTGTTTACTCCATCATATTAACAACAGTTCAAGGTTCAAATCCTTACTGTGCCACTCACTGTGTGACTTTGGATGAGTTATTTAATGTCTCTAAACCTAAGGATAAGAGAAAACAGCCTACCTACAGAGTTGGGAGGATTAATTAAGATAATGCATACCAAGGGTTGACACATAGTAGGCACTTAGTAAATGTTAGTTGTTGGTTAGCAGATAAACCAGTAGAGGTTTCTAATTACAGGCAACAGAAACCAGCCTGACTTGGTTTCAGCTTCTCAAAACTTATTAGAAGGATCTTGGGGAAAGTTCAGATAATCTTTTGGAAAGCTGAGTCAACAACCCTTAGTAGGGCAGAAACCAAGGCTACTCTGTTTGGGAAGCTGGGTCACGCAAGCAGAAAAGCAGCTGCCTTAGTCCATGGCTCCCACAATGTTGCCGCTGGGCCCCAGTTGGCCCCTCTTGGCCAACCCTCTTGGCCTTACTGGCAGGTGGGTGGACTGTGGGCTCAGTCCCTTCCCAGAGGAGTCCAAAGTCAGTTTATGTGAAGCATCCACTCTCACAACTACCATGCAGATATCAAGGGACACTGTTCTTTCCTGCTGGGTGTTGGAGACAGGTTGGCATGCAGAGGTGACACGTAGGAGTTTAAATTATTAGGTTGAAAGTGATTTCTAGGTGTGCCCTGCTCTAAGCAAAAGTAAGGTACAAAAATAACTTATAACACAAGTTGTTCTAAGAGCAATGTACTTTTTTAAAGCATTCACTACAGGATTCCTCAAGTATAAGTTATAGAATCTTCAAAAAGACAAGCACATTTCTTAGGAATATATCAATAATAAAAAGCTAGAAAGTCAGGTATGGTAGTTCTCACCTATAATCTCAGCACTTTGGGAGGCCGAGGCAGGAGGATTACTTAAGGCCAGGAGTTCAACACTAGCCTGAGCAACATAGCAAGACCTCTTTACCAAAAAAAAAAAAAAGAAAGAAAGAAAAAGAAAAGAAAAATTAGGCAGAGTATGGTGGTCAACATTTGTAATCAAGCACTTTGGGATGCCAAGGCAAAGGGGACTGCTTGAGGCCTGGGTACCATAATGAGATCCTGTCTCTATTAAAAAAAAAAGAAAAATTAGCTGGGCATGGTGGCATGTGTGCCTATAGTCCTAGCTATTTGGGAGGTTGATGCAGGAGGATCATTTGAGCCCAGGATTTTTTTTTTTTTTTTTTGAGACAGAACCTCCAGCTATCACCCTGGATAGAGTGCTATGGCATCATAGTTCATAGCAGCCTCCAACTACTGGGCTCAAGTGAGTCTCTTGCCTCTGTCTCCCAAGTAGCTGGGACCACAGGCGCCCATCACAATGCCCGGCTGTTTTTTGGTTGCAGCCATCTTAGTTGTTTGGTGGCCCTGGGCTGGATTCAAACCCGCCAGCTCAGGAGTATGTGGCTGGCGCCTTAGCTGCTTGGGCCACAGGCACTGAGCTGGAGCCCAGGATTTTAAGACTTCAGTGGGTATGAGCCTGCCACTGTACTCCATCTTGCACTACAGGGTAGAAGCCTGTTTTTAAAAAAAGCTAGCATACCTGCATTTACAAATTTTTAAGTGAAAGAAGTACAATAATGTTGGTATTTGAGGAAAGGCCAATTGTTTTCAGGTATAGTTTAGGTACTGTTTTTCCAGCTAGGTAGTAGCCTCTTGAAAGTTTTTCAGTCATCTCTCTTCAACTGAGTGTGTCCTGGTCCTGGTTTGGTACATTGCCTTAGTTGTATACATGTAGCTTTCCTACGTTTCTAACATATGCATAGCAGGCAGGAATCCAGAGATAAGCAACTCCTCACCCTCATTCCTGAAGTGATTTGTCTCTGCCTTCATGGAGCAGGACTTCTTGGACAGAATAATTACAATTAACATTCCCAATGCTGAGCTGTGGCTGGGTGAACTAGTCCATGGTGATTTGTTCTGGTGTTGAACAGAATAGTGTATTATCTTTCCTCTGAGTGTTTCAAATGGAGAAGCAGTATCTGGGGCTGAGCCTAGTGTATGTGATTTGTGGGCTGTTGATCAGGTGGTGGGTGTTACATCTGTCACCCCTTTGGGAGTGTAAGTTTTTTTCTGAAACCTTGGGGTCACATTCTGGTACATAGTCAGGGGTAGGTACATGTATATGCTCCTCTTTTTTTATTCACCCCCCTCCTCATAGTCTTTTCCCATCAAAGACAAGTAATTTATATTTCTAAAATATTTATAGAATACCTGCCAACTGCAAGGTACTGGGTGAATCACTTGTAGGCATAAAGATGGTTCATAAATGAACTGTGTCCTCCAGGAGCTTAGAGTCTGACAGGGGAAAGAGACATCTCTGTAAATGACTCTGGAGAATAGTAGAACATACCACTTTCATTGTTTTGTGCATGAATCACAACCTGCCAACTTGCAAACATAATCTGACATGACGTAATTTATTAGTCAGAATTCTTTGGTTGTGTCAAAAACCCAGCTCAAGATTACTTAATCAGTCTCCATGCCTGTAGCTCAGTGGTTAGGATGCTGGCCACATATGTTGAGGCTGGCAGGTTTGAACCTGGTCCCAGGCTTGCTAAACAATGACAACTACCAAAAAAAAAAAAAAAAAGTCAGGTGTTGTGGCAGGCAGCCGTCCCAGCTACTTGGTGGGCTGAGGCAAAAGAATCACTTAAGCCCAAGAGTTTGAGGTTGCTGTGAGCTGTGATGTCATGGCACTCTACTGAGGGCAATATAGTGAGACTGTCTCAAAAAAAAAAAAAAAAAAGGGGCGGTGCCTGTGGCTCACTGGGTAGGGCTCTGGCCCTGTGTACCAAGGGTGGCGGGTTCGAACCCAGCCCTGGCCAAACTGCAACAAAAAAATAGCCAGGCATTCTGGCAGGTGCCTGTAGTCTAAGCTACTTGGGAGGCTGAAGCAAGAGAATTGCTTAAGCCCAGGAGTTGGAGGTTGCCGTGAGCTGTGATGCCACAGAACTTTAATGAGGGCAGTAAAATGAGACTCTGTTTAAAAACGACAACAACAACAACAACAACAAATCGATCAAAAGAGGGAAAGTATTGGTTTGGTTCTGAAGCCTGGGATGAAGTTGGGCTTGACATAATAGCCTCAGGTCTCTGGTTACCTCCTGGCTTTACCTATTCTTGTGTGGGCCTCCTTTCCAGTCAGATTCTCTTCCCCGGGGGCAGGGTGGATCTCACTAGCCCCAAACACATCTAGTCCTCAGTGCTGCCTACCCAGACAAAGAGCTCTGCCTACTCTCCCCAGCATCCCTATCAGTGCTCAAACCACTGTTTGGCAAATTGGTTCTGCCAAGACTGTCTGCCCACACCTGGCCCACTCACTTGCGTAGTCTGGTGGCTCACACTGGGCTGTGTGCTTACCACTGGTACGACAGATGGAGCCTCTTGTTAGAAACACGAGACTCTGGGAAAGAGCATGTCCCAGATAAAAAGGGGGGGTTTGTTACTAAAAGATGGGAGGAGGAGTGGATGCTGAAAGCAAGCAAATTAAAAAAGTTTTCTCACTACAAATTCTGGTAAGTATTTGTCAGAAAGACAAAAACCTGCTAGCAGGGTCACAATAGTCAAGCAGTGAAGGCAGGGGTAGCAAACTGGCCCACTTACAAGTTTTGTATGGTCTGCAAGAACCAGATGGTTTTCAGAATGTTCAGACCTGACAATTATGTAAAATTCAAAT